GGTGGTGCCAGCTGATCCATCCAGTGCAGAGTCTGCAAAATATCTCAAGTGCTGATCTTAGGAGCAGTTTAGGAAGGGTCAGAATCTTGCATCCTCCAGCGGCGTGACTCCTAAACCATAATTTCTAATCCTGTAGCTAATGTTAGTACTACAAAGGCAATCTGGTCCCCAGGCAAGAAGGAGGTCTGCCCTGGGGAAAGGCCACTGTCGTCTTTGCCTCAAACCACAAACTATAAACTAAGTTTCTCTCAAAGTTATTTCAGCCTATGCCCAGGAATGAACAAGGACAGTCTGGAGTTTAGAAGCAAGATGGAGTCAGTTAAGTTAGATCTTTCTCACTGTCTCAGTCACAATCTTGCAAAGGTGGTTTCACCATGACACCATAATTTTATCATTTTCTTCCCACCTCATAATACATTTCCTCTCAGTTACATATGCTGCCTCTAGTTCACTGAGCTAGAGATCCCTAGAGTTTGACGTTATACTGTCCCCATTTGTTTCACTCTCATAGAGAAATCTTCTCTAATCACATGACTCTAACATCTATATGTAGATGACTTTGCATTTATATCTTTACCCAGATGGGTGCCTTGAACTCCAGATTCATAAATCCCATGGTCTCCTTGATACCTCCAGGTTGTTGTCTCATACATTTCTTAAGGTAACAAATCCAAATTTGATTCCTGACTTTCCTCCACAAGAGCCCTGTTTTTTCTCATCTTAAGGATACCACAGCTCACCCCGTTTCTCAAACTCAGGGGAATACATTTAATTCTTCTTTTCAATTAATTTCTCATATTGTGTATATTTTGAAGAATTATCAGATTTATCCTGAAAATATAAAGGATAGGTAATCAATGATTCCAGTTTTTTATTGCTGGCACTTTAATCAAAGTATTTTTTTATTATTGTCTGAACTAAATCAATAACCTTCTGATTGATTTCTCTGATTCTGCTATTGCCTCTACCTCAATCAATTGGTTCATAGCATGTTAGTCTAAAAGATTCTGTGATTAAAACATGCCAATGGCTTTTTCTATCATTAAAATAAAATCCAGGCTTATTTATATGCTTTCAAGGTCTTACTTCATCTGACCCCTGAATAGTTCCATACCATTTTGATTAACACCTGCCAGAATGGTTGCTATTCTCCAAACACATCTTTCCTTCTGATGCTTAAGCGTCTCAAACTCATTCTGCCTTTTCAGATTTGGGAGTCTCAAGACCCTCTGCCAGATATTCTCCTAACATATTTCCTGCAGTGGCAGACCCTCGTCCTTCAGAATACAGCTAAAATATCACCTTGTCAGGTGATATCACATTCACACATTTTATTCTATTTATTATGCAACAATAATTATTATCATTTTGCATCTTTTTTTTTCATTCTTTCACTTTTTGTTGCCTGTCTCCCCTATTAGAATCTAAACAGTATCCCAACAAAAAAATGTGTCTTGTTCTCAGCTCTATCCTGAGACCTAGGAGTATATCGGATTACTAAGATGTGTCTAATAAATATTTATTTTTCAACTATATAAATGAATTGTTTTATTATTTCTCTGTACAAAAAAAATCACCAAAGAAGGTTTAGCAGTCCTGCATGTTAATCCCTGTTCCAATAATGTCTGGCTTTTCTCTCATAAATGTGTGTAAATCTCTTTACTTCTCTGTGCCCCAATTTTCCTGAGGGATTGGGCTAAATCACATCTAAGCTCCTTTCCTACGATTCTATTTCAATGAGCAAAGGAGTCTATAAACTATAGTATTAAATTTATTTTATATTTCATTTTACATCTTTCCCTTAGATTAAGATATAGCAAGGAATCTCATCACCTTGGAAAGTTTGAGGAAATTCACACCTAGATAAGACAGAAATGCAATGCTTGTATCTTTCGTTCTCTGTTTTTATTTTAGAACAGCTCTTTCCATTTCTGCAGTTTCCTAGATATGTTGATGTTTAAAATCATCCCTGCCGTTATAATTCTGACGTTATTTTTATCTTTTTATTCTATAAAATCTTCTTTATAGTCTCATCCACCATGGGCCTCCAACTCAACAATTTCAAGGAGCATTTCAATAATTTAGCTTACAAATGTAAACAGGAACTTACTTTAATTGTCTCCACAAGAAGACGCTGAAATAGACAAGGTTGTGAAAACACCTACCAGAGTGAAACCTTTTCTATGCAGGGAACTTCTAGCCCTCCAGCAAGGACTCCACTCAGTTGCAAAGCTAAATGTTTCCTTCTCCTTATAGCATTTGTTTTTTAATCTACGTCTGTATTAAAAGCCTCAGAAAAAAAAAGGATGGTATTCTGTTTTTTCAAGTTTGCACAACAAAAATGTCCTTTGCCCTTTTTGCCCCAGGTTCATTTTTAGTGAATGCACTTCTGGATGGGCTAAGCCTGAGGAAAAGCAATCAAGAATGTTTTGATGTCGCTTTAATACAAATTTCTGATTTGGCAGAGCCCTTTTACAACCATTTCTTATTAAAAGTTTGAGAATCAAGAAGCCTTTTCACAGCAAAATCTTTGGGCCAACTATGATTCACTAGCAATAAGCACTTCACATCATGTCTGCAATCATTATCAAGAGACTTGATTTGTACACATGAATGGAAGCTTCTTTTGGTTTTCCAGTTGCCAATTCAGTCATCTCCACTCCCAGATGTTAATCACCATCATATAGCATCAGATTAAGAAATGGAAGAAAAAATATCCTCATTTACTGTCTGAAGAGGAGTATATGTATATCCTACAGAGATAAAAATTGCATACTAATAAAGTAGAAGACATTTTATTTTATATTTATATCCTGCTTCTAAATTATATGAATTTCCTTCGGGATACTTGACTTATGTTTTCTTAAAAAGTGTATTACGATCACAATTCATTTTTTACTTCATAGGCTGTTTAACCTTTAAAAATATTCTCACACAAATATTAAATACTCTTTTAACAAAAGAAATGATGAGTTGTAGACACAATTACGTATTGATTTATTCTTCCAGTGTGAAGTCCTGGGTTTTTGGTCATAGTTTTTTGTGAACCTTTTCACATTCTGCTCTAATTATACATCCGTACTCACATGCAGTTATTTTGTTTTATTTTCAGTGATATCCTGAGATATATAATGTATAAGCAAATATACATGGTATAAAAAAACTTATATAGATACATTGTATTTCTTCTACTTAATATTTTTTACTTACATTCTTGCCGATCATTTACAATCCAAATATTTTTTAAATAGGCATATTTCTTATGATGAATGTGCCATAATCTTTTATCATCGCCCCCTATTTATAGACATTTAAATGTCTATATACATTTTGCAATTGCAAACTTTTCCCTAGATAGTAATGCACCTGTATTTTTTTTATTTAGGCTTTTTAAAAGTTTTGTTTTCCATAGGTACAGGGCTGAACTTCTAGTTTTAAAAATAATATACTTATTTTAATATTAATAGATTACCCCACATTTTTTCTGAATGAATTTTAACAGTAATTGTCAGTAGCCTGAGCTTACTTATTGCACCTAAGATTACCATTCTTGGTTGAAGGCAAATAACTCATTTATATTTTAATTTACAATTAATAATGTCAAATTAACTTATTTTTATCAAAATGGTTGATAGCTATATAGTTCTGTATACTTCTAGCTGAACAGGACACACTTTTATGTTTGATAATTTTTAATGATAAATGTTCTTAACATCATATTCCTACTTACAGAATGTGACCTAGTTGAATGTGTATAAAAAACAAAACACGCAATTTTCTTACTAGCAATAACACAGTTACTAGTATTGTTTTATCAAAAATACTAATCAGTATATATGTAAATAAAATAATTTTAATATTTTAATGATCCCTTGAAACTTAAATTGTGTTTATGATATATAAGAAAACAATGTATCCTAAGAGAAGTTTTCTTTAGAAATTTATTATAAAATATTTAAGATCTATAGAGTCGTGTAAAACTATTTCCAGGAATATGTGTGTATGCACCATTCAGTATACAAATAAATAAATAAATAACACCTTACCAAGTCAGTTGAAGTCGTGTGTGTACTCTGTGTCAATTGTGTAAATTCCTTTCAATAGAGATAACCAGTATCTTTAAATTGTTTTTTCTTATTCTCATGCAGTTCTGAATATTTTGTAACATATATTATTAAATATTTAATCAAATAATATATAGTGTTGCATTCTTTACATGTTTTTAACTTTACAGATAAAATATTAATACTCTATGTTAGGAGTCCCCAGCACCCAGGCTGCAGAGTTGTACTCGCCCATGGATTGTTAAGAACTAGGCCTCACAACAGGAGGTGAGTGGTAGGTGAGCGAGCATTACAGCCTGAGCACCACCTCCTGTCAGGTCAGCTGTGGCATCGGATTCTTATAGGAACTCAAACCCTATTGTGAACTACATGTGGAGGGAATTAGATTGCTTACTTCTTATGAGAATCTAATGCCTGATGATCTGAGGTGGAATAGTTTCACCCCAAAACCAACCCCACAACATCTGTGGAAAAAATATCTTTCATGAAACTGGTCTCTGGTGCCAAAAACATTGGGGACTGCTGTTTTATGTGTTCTTTTGGAAATAGTTTCTATTTCTCAACACCAGGTTTAAGATATTCACCAATGTAATCTAGTTTATATATACAGCATTTGTCTATATGTAGTATTTTATTCTATGGATACACCCATAATTTATTTACCCATTTTGTTTTTGATTGACATAGAATTTGTTTCCAATATATTGCTTTAGTAAACTATATTGTTACCCATGTCTTAAACATTCTTTATTTATTCTTGCAAATGCATGAGAATTCCTTTGCATTATAACTAGAGGTAGAGTGACTACATGGTAGATTATAAATATCCACTCTACTATATATTGCAAAATATTTTCATAAGTGCAATTGTTATTTTCAAAATAATATGTTAACATCTTGGAAATGTATTCTATCATAAAAAAATTAAAACTGCTTTTCAGTCGGGCGCTGAGTGGTTTTTCGGATCATGTCTGGTGGCTCCGTGGATTATAACAGAGAACATGGCGGCCCAGAGGGAATGGACCCCGATGGTGTCATCGAGAGCAACTGGAATGAGATTGTTGATAACTTTGACGATATGAATTTAAAGGAGTCTCTTTTTCGTGGCATCTATGCTTACGGTTTTGAGAAGCCTTCCGCTATTCAGCAGAGAGCTATTATTCCCTGTATTAAAGGGTATGATGTGATTGCTCAAGCTCAGTCAGGTACTGGCAAGACAGCCACATTTGCTATTTCCATCCTGCAACAGTTGGAGATTGAGTTCAAGGAGACCCAAGCATTAGTATTGGCCCCCACCGGAGAGCTGGCTCAACAGATCCAAAAGGTAATTCTGGCACTTGGAGACTATATGGGAGCAACTTGTCATGCCTGCATTGGTGGAACAAATGTTCGAAATGAAATGCAAAAACTGCAGGCCGAAGAACCACATATTGTTGTTGGTACACCTGGGAGAGTTTTTGATATGTTAAACAGAAGATATCTTTCTCCAAAATGGATCAAAATGTTTGTTTTGGATGAAGCAGGTGAAATGTTGAGCCGTGGGTTTAAGGATCAAATCTATGAGATTTTCCAAAAACTAAACGCAAGTATTCAGGGTGTGTTGCTTTCTGCCACAATGCCAACTGATGTGTTGGAAGTGACCAAAAAATTCATGAGAGATCCAATTCGAATTCTGGTGAAAAAGGAAGAATTGACCCTTGAAGGAATCAAACAGTTTTATATTAATGTTGAGAGAGAGGAATGGAAGTTGGATACACTTTGTGACTTGTACGAGACACTGACCATTACGCAAGCTGTAATTTTTCTCAATACAAGGCGCAGGGTGGACTGGCTGACAGAGAAAATGCATGCCAGAGACTTCACAGTTTCTGCTCTGCATGGTGACATGGACCAGAAGGAGAGAGATGTTATCATGAGGGAATTCCGGTCAGGGTCAAGTCGTGTTCTGATCACTACTGACTTATTGGCTCGCGGGATTGATGTGCAACAAGTGTCTTTGGTTATAAATTATGATCTACCTACCAATCGTGAAAACTATATTCACAGAATTGGCAGAGGGGGTCGATTTGGGAGGAAAGGTGTGGCTATAAACTTTGTTACTGAAGAAGACAAGAGGATTCTTCGTGACATTGAGACTTTCTACAATACTACAGTGGAGGAGATGCCCATGAATGTGGCTGACCTTATTTAATTCCTGGGATGAGAGTTTTGGATGCAGTGCTCGCTGTTGCTGAATAGGTGATCATAACGTGCATTGTGCTTCTTTCTTTGGGAATATTTGAATCTTGTCTCAATGCTCATAACGGATCAGAAATACAGATTTTGATAGCAAAGCGACATTAGTCGTGAGCTCTTGTGAGGAAAGTCATTGGCTTTTTCCTCTTTAGAGTTAGACTGCTGGGGTGGGTATAAAAGATGGGGTCTATAAAATCTTTTTTTCTTAGAAATTTATTTCCTAGTTCTGTAGAAATGGTTGTATTAGATGTTCTCTATCATTTAATAATATACTTGTGGACTAAAAGATATAAGTGCTGTATAAAATCAGCCAATTATGTTAAACTAGCATATCTGCCTTTATTGTGTTTGTCATTAGCCTGAGTAGAAAGGCCTTTAAAATTTTTTTAGAAAGCATTTGAATGCATTTTGTTTGGTATTGTATTTATTCAATAAAGTATTGAATTAGTGCTAAGTGTGAACTGGACCCTGTTGCTAAGCCCCAGCAAGCAATCATCCTAGGTAGGGTTTAATCCCCAGTAAAATTGCCATATTGCACATGTCTTAATGAAGTTTGAATGTTAAATAAATTGTATATTCACTTTAAAAAAAAAATTAAAACTATTTTTATTTTAAAATTTTGAATTTCATTATGCATTGTATTTATAAATTACCTTTTTGCAGTTACTAACATTTGAATATTTAAATCTCTGTGAATAATAATTATTTTTCTCTGTTCTAAATTTCATTGTATTTTAATGCTACTTTCACAGTTTTATTTGTATACTTCATCCCTTTTATGAATAGTGTTTATAAGTAATTTTATGGATTTCTGTTATGATTATAAATAGGATTTTTAAAGTAATTACATTTCTAGCTAACTATGGAATGTATATGTCACTCTTTTTTCAGTAAGTTAATCAAATCCTCTAATCTTAGTAGTTTTTATGTGAGTCGTGCTGGTTTTCATAGTACCTTATTTTATTATTTCCAATGATGTTGGTCTTGCTTAATATTTAAAATAATTTAGTTAGACATATAGGCAGTGATTGAAATTTTTCAGCACAACAAACATATGAATAAATACTTTAACGAAGAAACATTTCATTTGCTGCAATAAATGGTTACTTTAGAAAGCATATTTTTTTCTCAATTCAATTATGGGAAACCTTTATTTTATAAAGTAAGATTTGTTTTATCTTAAATATAACAAATTCACATTTCAAAAAAGTAAAGAATAAATATTGCCACTCAATTAAAGTGACCTGTGCTACTGTTCTAGATGCCCTCAAAGAAAGATTAATTTAAGGTAAAATGTGTTTATGGGATCTAAATAGATGTGTTGAGAAATCACATCTGAGTAAGCTGGAGAGACACTTTTGGAACAAGAGAGCATTGAAGTTTAGGTGGAAAACGAAGTGTTGAATTCCAATCTGAATTCTGATTTTGAAATTTGGTGGCTATGTGAAATTGGAGAGTCAATTATTCTCTGTGATTCAAAGATCAGTTGTCTGTAAAATGAGGACTTTCAGTTACATAAAGCTGAACTAGCTTAATTATTGCTACTTCTGTATATGAGACAGAGCATAAGTGTAAAGCATGCAGAGTGAGATATATGAAATTGTTTCTTCTGGATGCAGTAACATTCAATGAGCAGAGAAGTGTGAGCGATTATTAGAGCAAATTCTGGGAGGAATCATTAAAATCTGAGTTCTGTGCTGTTGATTGTATCTAATGGTGGGGTGTTTAGTATAACAGTCTGTTTTCAATCCATACTAAGAAAAATTATGAAGTGAGCCATGAACTTCAACAACACATTCTTTTTCTGTTTTAGAGCATAACAAATGAACAAAAAAACCATTTCAAAACAATGAACTTTAAAAAAATTATTGTTAAAGTTCATGAACTTATATTTTTTGTCTTAATTTCTGACTTTCTTACACGTGGTTAAATATAACTCTAACACACTTAGCTTTCCCAGTTCTTGGTTGGCACATTATAAAAGAGCAATTGGCCCACAACAGAAAGAATTTGTAGAATAAGGGACAATGAAGTACTCATGAAGTATCATGTGCTGACTATTTAACCCTGAAGAAACAGATGGAAAGACATACTTTATACTATATTACTACTTTATAGTACTATAGACATACTTTATAATATAGTATAAATGTGTACATTTATATATGTGAGTGCTTATGTATATGCAAAAGCAGTGTGTGTGTATATATAGACAGTATATGCATATATAAAAACAGCATATACATATATACACTATATATGTATGTATATAAAAGTGTGGAGCACACGCACACACACACACACACAGACACACACATATGTCTCTGTTTAGGACCAGCTGGTTTAACAGCCATATGTAACTTAATGTGTATAGAATATTGCTCTCTAAAACAGATATAACATATGACCTAGCCTGCAATATAAACTACTCTTTGGCAAGTAAACAAAAAATGAGCATTTCCTAGGGAAATAAAAACAACACATTTGATTTTTCTGTTTTCATTCTTGTCAAGCACTACATTTGCTTTCACATTTCATAGTCAGGCAAAGCAGAATAATTAACATCACATATTTATTCTTACTTCATTAGTGACATTTACACCTGCGCTATTACAAAAATGTGCTAATGTTTTATTTATGATTTCTTTATAGCTTCCTTATTGCCATTCACGTCATTCACATTTAACAAAGACAGAAACTAATAAAAGCCAGGTATTGGGTATTATTTATTTTGTCCCTGGCATGATAACACCTTTAATGAAAAAAGAAATAAAAACTTAGGTGGCAGTAATTACCTCAGTCACATTTACCTTGCTACGCAGATGGAGTATAATGCACTAAGTTTCTAGGCTGTGTCCTTCATGTATTCACATCACAGTGAAAAATACACAGAGCTGTCACTAAGCATAAGTCAAGCTGAACAAATGCTTTTTTAATTTGAACTAGAAAATACAGTCAACCTACTGTACTTGATCTTATATGGAAGGGCATTACAAAGATCTATAAGAGGTTAAAACACTTAAAATAGTGAAATTGAGATGTACAGGGTGGGGGGACGAGATACTTAAAGTGAAGCAATATAACAATACATCAATACATCAATTAACAGAAATACTTTGCTATGAGCAAACATTATAGAAAAGGAATATTACAAAAGACGTAGAAGTTGAATGCAGATATGTGTAATATGTGTAATATGTGTAAAAAAGAGGCTATAGTAAGTCCTAAAGAGATTAATGATTTAGATTAAGAGACAAAGCTGAAATAGTGGAATGGTTATTAAAATCTTGTAGTTAAAAATCAGGATGGCAGATTACTACAATCATTAATCTGTTAAATCTGATTGAGGGCAGTCACAAAAAATGGCAAGTGCTTTTAACATATGGGCCTATCCTGTTTGTGACAACTGTCCATAAATCAATGATGCATGAACAAAAGTTTTATGGAGGGCTAAATAAAACTGGAGTGTTTAAATTGGAGTGGTTTAAAAATTCTATCATAATTTTAGGACACGTTTAATATATTATGCTCAAATATGTTCTTCAAAAAAATGTGTTGCTTGCAAAGGCAAAATGAACACATTTAATTTAAATTTTTCATTTTCTATCAAATTGTTTCCTTAAACTTAGAATGTGAAAAAAAATACACATTGACTATGATATAATATGCCCATTCACTAAATGTATTACTAATACAGAGAAGGTAGTTTGGTGGATATTCTATATATATATCATCATGTAATCATTGCCTTAAGATAGATATTATTATTTCCATATAATAGGTTAGGAACCAGGGGCCAGTTGAGTTGATTAATACATGCAATGAAGCTGTTTTATTCAGACATTCTGACTTCAACCTCATTGCTTTTTGAATTACCCCAGAAATTCTTATATTTTAGGCTTATCTCCAGGTACCTCACAGTATGACTGTATTTAGTGAGAAGGCCTTTCATGGGGTGATTAAGTTAAAATGAGGCCATTTATGGATGCTCGTCCAATCTGACTAGTGCCCTTTAGAGGAGGAAATTTGGGCAGAGAGTCATCAAGGATGCACACACACAGAGGGAAGACCATGTGTGGACATATCCAAAAGCCATCTGGAAGCCTAGAAGAGAGGCATCAGAATAAAACTGCCTTGATCTTGGACTTCTAGCCTCCAGTAACTAAGTATATGTTAAGTATATATCATATATATATATACACACACACACATATATATAGCTTAAGACATTCATACTGTTGTATTTTGTCACGGCAGCCCTAGAGAACTAATACACCTTCTGATCAAGGAAGTAGAAAAGATATTGTTAAATAGTAAAGTAGATAATTATACTTAGATAATTTCCATTATATAAATGTATGCACACACATAATGGAATATATGTACATAATGAAATATATGTGAAATGTAACCAAGCATGTGTATATGTGTGTGTGTGTGTGTGTGTGTAAACAGTTTAAGCCTCCAGAATTTAAAAATGTTTTGTTATTTCCTATTTATTTGTCTCATTATATGGGTGATACTGGTTCAGATGAGCTGGTTATGTGGTCCCTGGACCAACAACCTCAGGTTAGTGAATGGAACTGGCACGTTTCTTTCTCCAGAAATTTTCCATACCCTACCCAGAGCCTCAACCTAGTGTTGAGGATGCCCTTGATCTGTTACTTTGTTTAATACAAAGACTGATGAAACTGAGCTTTCTGTTAATAACATAAAAATATGAAATAACATTATTGAGATACAGGTTAATACCAATTTAACTGTAGTGACAGATTTGCTTCTCTCTCATTATATTAGATAAGACTTTCAAGACTTTCAAGATATAAAACAAATTGGGTTTGTAATCCCAGCGCTTTGGGAGGCTGTAGCTGGTGGATCACCTGAGGTCAGGAGTTCGAGACCAACGTGGCCAACGTGGTGAAACTCCGTCTCCACTAAAAATATAAAAATTAGTCAGGAGTGGTGGCAGGCACCTGTAATCACAGCTGTTCAGGAGACTGAGGTAGAAGAATTGCTTGAACCCGGGAGGCAGAGGTTGCAGTGAGCTGAGATCATGCCATTGCACTCCAGCCTGGGCGACAAGAGCAAAACTCTGTCTCGATAAATAAATAAATAAATAATTTATTGGTTATACTTTTTTCCAAAGAAAACTGTAGGGGTTGGAGTCAGAAGAGTATGAAAAGGGACCACCCCAACCACCACAAAACTTTGTTTAAAAACAAAAATCTCCCAGTAGGAAAGTAGGATGAGATCGATAAAAGAGAATATCCTTAATGATGAAGACAGAAAAGTTCCAAAACAAAAAATACACAAATGACTTATGAACTCTAAAACCAGTTTAAAAGGTATTGAAAAGTCAGAATACAATTTTAAACACAAGCTGTTTAAGACAAAGATATTAGCTTTCAAACTAATTTTGAGATTTTAAATTTTACCATATTCCTTTGGAAACTTTAAATTCACAATGTAGTTAACATCTTTAAAACTCAGAGAAGACATAGAAGCAGCTACCTGTTAGTTACCTAATTAATCAAATTTGTACAAATATTTTAGTGGAAATTCAGTCAGCATATCTAACTCAGAGTTATTCAGTC